AGCACAATAAAAACTTTACATCATACCCTATTTACAAAGACATCCAAGTCAGATCGTTCATTAGTGCACATTAGCTCACTGACACAATATTAGACACCTCGAATCTAGATATGGGAATCAAGAGAGTGTTTACTGGAAATCAACTTTACTTTACTGGAAGTCAACTTAACTCAGCAGGAGAGTCACTCAGTTAAGAAATGTCAAATTCAAATCTTCCTGATGTACAAACGAAACAGTTTTGCCATGCAACCAGTTTCTCATCAGGGCGCAAAATTATATGACTGCTTGAACACCAAATAACCGTCAATTGAAAACATAAAGTGTACCTAACCGACATACAACATTTTGCCCTGCTTCACATTTTCTTACGTAGTCCTCAAAGGATGAGTTATAAAGATTGCAGTGACTTTGCTCATGGTCTGCAGGCATGAAAAAACAAACTTCTCTACCGGATTTAGAAAAACAACATACTACCACGGAGTAGACAGAGCCATTAAGGTACAATGCAATTATATTCAGTAGTGTTACTGTACACCCTGCAGGTTAGCTATACTAATATATGAAGAGGTGTGGATATGGAGAAAATGTTCTGCCATGATCTTAAAAAAGTGGAGTCCTGTGGCGTAGTGGTTAAAGCACTTGCCTCACAAGCCAGAGGACCTGGGTTTGATTCCCGGGCAGGACAAAAGCAATAAATCAGGCATTTAGAAATTTAAATTTTGACAAAATTTACATGTGACTTTAACCTTTTGCCTTTCTGCTTCAAACAGAAAAAAAAATTCTGGTTACTTTTAGGGATGGACATTTAAAAGTACTTAACAGTCAACAGTGCCCAGCACTCTTCTAAACCAAGATCAAATGTTATGTGGAGAGACTGGAGAGGAATTGTTCCCCTTGGAGCAGAGAAGCTTAAAGGGAGATTTAATAGAGGAGTTCAAAATCAGTAGGTGTTTTGATAAGACTAAATAAGTAGAAACTGTTTCTTCTGGTGGGTGAGTCGGTAACCAGAGGTCACAGATTTAAGATAATTGGCAAAAGAACCAGCGGGGAAACAAGGAGAATTGTTTTCTACCCAGAGAGTTGTTAAGATGTGGAATGAACTTCTTGGAAGTGTGGTGGAAGCATGATGGGCTGAATGGCCTCCTTCTGCACTGTAAGATTCCATGAAATATACAAGACCGAATGCACACAATCTGAACAGTAAATAAATTGGTTTTGCTAAGTGATTTTGAATTTTAATAGGTTCACCTCTGGATTGTAAATTGGAGGCTACATCAGTACTTGAGTTCACTGTCTAGGCCTCCTCCCTTTCAGTACTAAAATAGCCCTGCATTGTTTGAGGAGCCAGTCCTTCAGGTGAGATCGCAGAAACAAGATCACAAAATTGGTTCGGTTGAAGAAGAAGGCCTTTCCAAGTCCTGAAACACATCGTTGCTGCTCAGCTTCGCTCCTTCCTCTCTTCGGCCTATTTAATCTCATCCTTCCAGAATACACACCCTACTGTCTTCCCATTCGCAGCACCAAGCTGCATGTTAAAATGAGTCCCAGTGTGCTGGCTTCTCCCAACCTTCCTGGTAATCCTGTTCCAGTCACTAATTACCCTCTGGGTAAAGAAACACTTCTGTGCGTCTGGCCTCAGATTGCCCTTTACAACTCTAAACCTATGTTCTCTTGTTCTACTGTCTTCAAAGTATTGTTCTGTGTTCACTTTTTCAGTCCCATTCGCTCCTTCCTCTTACACTACTTTCTCTACAAACCCCTCTAATTGGGTTTCCATGCTGCCCACAGTACAGAAAGAGTCTTGGTCAAAGTCACAAATGACATTTATCCACCTGTGACCAGGGCTCTCTGTCTCCTTGAACTCCTTGATCTCTATACAGCTTTCGACACTGTCGAACACTCTATCCTTCTCCACCACCTCTGCTCTCAGATCAATCTTCACGATCCCGCCCTTGCCAGGTTCAAATCTTACCTTTCCCAAAATCTCCACTTTGTGTTCATGAACAGGTTTTCCTCCAGCCCCCACACCACCACTTGCGGCGTTCCACAGGACTTTGTCCTTGATCCTCTCCTTTTGAATATCTATATGCTCCCTCTTAATGAAATCATTTACAGACATGGGGTTAACTTCCATATATATGCAGATTACACACCTCAGCTCTACCTCTCTGCCGCCACCCTCAATTCCAGGACAACTGCTCTTCATCAGACATCAAGTTCTGGATGAAAGCTAACGTTCTCCAGCCGATTGTCAACAAGACCGAGGCCCTCCTGCTTGGCTCTCGTCAGCACCTCTACATTTCAGGCCTTGACAGCATCAACATTCATGGATGCACTCTACACTTCACTGAACCTTGGTGTCTTGTTTGACCCTCAATTGTCCTTCAAACCCCACATCCGTGCCATGATCCGTTCTGCCTTCCCCCACCTCCGCAACATCGCCCAACTCTGCCTGTCCTTTCATCCACACATTCATCAGGCTTCCAGGCTTGATTACGCTAGCTCAATACTTGTCAGTTTTCCCAAATCTTTCCTCCACAAGCTGCAGATTATTCCGAATCTCTGCAGCTCGTGTCCTCTCCCGTACCAAGCTCCATGAACCTGATGAGTTATCCAGGATGACTAGTTATCAGAGAATCATAATGAGCATTTCAAATGGGAAATAGCCAGAATATTGAGTGAGTGACAAGTTATATGGATTGACGACTTATTCCAGGGGCGAGTTATCAGTTTCATTGAACCTCCATGAAGTCTCCTCTGAGACATCTCCTTTGAAGACTGAAGTGCCTTAGTTTGTCCAATTTGTGCTCATTACTGTCTAATAGTTTTTCACAGCAAAGTTTAAACTGAAGTCCAGTCTAGCTGTTCTGGTCATTAAGGTTAAAGATCTCGGGGCACAGTTTCATGAAGTGGAGGAAGATTTTGTAGTACCTTACCAATATTCTCCCTCATACAAATGTGGTCACTCATCAATCTCATTGCTGTTTGAGAGATGTTCTTGCTTCAGGACAGGTACCACATTTGCCCAAGTTAAAGCCAATCATGAAGTAAAACGCTCTTAAAGAAATTTCGATCTGAAAATGTGGCTGTATTAAATGCAAGTGTTCTAAGAACTAAGATCTGACAGTAAAAACAAAACTTATTTAAAGGGTAACAAGACAGTAGCACAGGATGTAATATGAAATAATAGCTTGTTTGAAAGACTTGTCCTTTCCAACCTAGTGCACTGCAGGGCCTACAGTGTCAGACAAAGATTAGCCGAACTTTACTCCTGTAACCTTGCTCTGGGACTTCATACCTGTTTAAGTCAATTTCGTTCAATGCGCTCTGGAGATTTGCAGAAACAGCAGAGGCTAGATCAAATCACAAGTGTTTTTTTTAGAAGGAAAATAAATGTATCCTGGTTGCTATGAGCAATGCAATGTTACTGTAAAATCACAAATAAAATCTATGTATTGCAGTGCAGGCAAATGTAGTGATCACCCTGAGCTTCAATACTTAATATCAAACTGCAATAACCCAATTGTTCCCAAAACACCTTTTCCAGCAGTGCAGTAAAGTCCTGCAGTGTATTAGTTAAAGGACTCGCCTAGCAAGTGGCAGGACCTGGGTTCAATTTTTGGGCAGGGCAAAACGTTAGGTAAGTTTCCTTACTCCACATGCCTCTGTTTACCTAGCAGTAAGTAGGAACCCGGTTGTTAGTCAAAAAAACAAGTCACTTTTCCAGGAGTAATAATCCACTAAAATTTTTTTCTAAAAATATAATAAATTCAGTCACTCATTCCACAACTGTTTGTGGGACGCTGCTGTGCGCAATTGGCTGCTGCTTTGCCCACAAAATATAGACAATTCACTTTACAGTATATTCTGTGAAGCGCTTTGAGACATCTCGAAGATATGATAATAGGGCGCTATAGCAAATGCAAGGATTATTATTATTACTTTGCAACTATATTTTCTCTAATATATAAAAAGGTGTGTTGCAGTGGATTGATTGGGGTATAAATGCCAAGGTTAAACAAACATTGCACTGCTCCATAGCTCTTTCCTGGTGTTTAGTCAAAACCGTGCAAAACAAAAAGTTGTTTACAAAATATTGGTTGCCTTTTCTCCTTAGTAATCCGAAACACTGATTGTCCAGCGCCTTGAGACGTCCTCCTGACGTGAAAGGCGCAATACAAATGTAATTTTGTTGTTGTAGTACCATGAGCTCCCTTGCTTTACTCGCTGAATTTAGGCAAGCATTGGGATGACATAACAGCAAAACCCAACTGACTAAAATAGGAAGCTCATCCTGCATGTTAGTAAAAAATATAATAATCAGTTCATCTTAAAAACACTATAATTCATCATTACATAATAAAAAGCAGGAATCAATCAATCAATCAATCAATCAATCAATCAATCGGACAGTCTCTTTTGGTTAGATAGGTACTGATACCTTGCAACATTCTCTTTCATAAACTGCAGTTACGTAAATATTTTTCGGGAGGGCGCGGGGGGGTGGGGGGGTCTGGAGAGGCGAGGGGGTAAAGAGACACTAATCTTGAAAGATAACCCTGATAAGACTGCTAAAAGGTCACGTTTTAAAAAAATAAAAAGGCAATATTTGGCTTAAAGAGCAGTTTTATTCTGTGCTTGAATTTAGACAAAGATAAATAAAATTCAACAGCAATTTGAAAGGAGAGTCTGTTTCTTAAAAGGAGGATTGTGCATTTGGAAATTCGCAAGAAATGCACTTGAATCGCATGCTTGGTGTATCCATAGTACTAAATTCTGGAAATCCGGAATGAAGTTGGAGAGTTGAAGTCAGACACAGCAAGCTGGATACTGCCTTTTTAATACAAATGTATTATACACACACATGATAGGACTAAGCAGAACCATTTGAGATCCCTTTCAAAGCAATGTCAATAGTTTCACCCACAAAATATACAGTCAATTAATTTTACAGTATATTCTGTGAAGCGAGGCGAAAAGGCGCTATATCAAATGCAAGGATTACTATTAATGTTGCAGTGGAATTAAAATCAATATTTGCTAAACCTGTCACTGGAACTGTCATGGAACTTCACTGTGCGGGAGACAGACCTCATTCCGATCAATCTTCTGAGGCTCGTTTGTCTATTACACAATGGGTGAGAGGAAGGGATAAACAAGCAATCATCCGTGATTTAAAATTTTAGGTCAAATGCCACGGTCAGTGATTATATTATATAGGTACAGCCACAACCTGTACGTACATTCTGAGATCAGAGTGGAATCCTGCCAAATGGTCCTTATTTGAAAGCCAAAAACAGGCCAAACATTTCGGTACTAGAATGCCAAACAATTTAATTAGCTACAATGGCCACGGACGGTGGAGGGGTCAAGATGGGAAGGTGCCACAGGTACTTTTTGGAAGATAAAAATCACTGAATGTAACAGGACTACATAGGCCACTTACCCATCCTCTCTCCCGTCACCCTCCTCTAACCATATTCTACAGAAAACAGAAGGTTAGTGCTACGTCCCACTTCCTGCTCTGCTGTTACACTATTACAGAATACTTAAAATTTATCCAAAATCGCTTCTCCCCCCACCCCCCGATTCTGAATAACACAATTCTCTCCCCTACCAACATTCGTAGGCGTTGCTAACAATTAGTTTTACGTAATACCACCCGTAATTTAGTAAAAACAACTCCATGATCAGTTATTTAAGCAGTCAAGAAAGAAAAAAAATCACACAGGAAACCGGGTTACACGGTTTCTCGCAAAAATAAAGGACATTGAATATGGCATTGCAGTACTGTAACAGTTTGACTCCCTTCTAGCATAGCTCGCCTAGCGTAACTACCTTCAGCTCGGCTCCTCAGTAACAAACACCAGACTACTCTGAAGGTTAGGTGGGTCGGTGAAAGTCCATCATTTTGTTTTCCTCTCCTCCTTTCACAGGAACTGCTTAGTTATTTAGCATTCCCAACTGTTACAACGAAACAATGCCATTTTAGCCCACCTCCTCTCTCTCTCTCTCACACACGCACGCACGCACACGCACACGCACACACACGCACACGGTCCGAGCTGTCCGCTACCTTTGGTCCCAATCATAGCGTAAGATTTCTACAATGTCACCAGGTGTGTTCCATACCACAATGGAAGCATTCTTTTTCCCGCGAAAAAAAAAAAGAAGAAAAAACTAAAAACAAGGTACTGTAAAAATATCAGATGAATAAGTGCACATAGAATCAATTAATGGGTGCGTCCCCCGTCTAGTTGTGGATGGGGAATGATCTTTCAGAATCACCTTGGTGCTGGTTGCCAACGATCATCTTCCCAGCTTAGTCGGGGGAAGCAGGTTTGACGGCTGAGCTACAGGTTCTGCTTCACGCTACCGTTTAGCCGAGGCTGGCAGCAGATCCCAATCTATGTCAATAAATCCATGAGCTGCGTAGCCACAGCGAGGTACAGAGACCAGGTCATCCATCTTCCTTTCTTCCCCCACCCCCCCCACCAATAAATTGAATTAAATGGCTACAATCCTCTTTCCCCACTCCATCAAACGGTAAAACAGCAAAAAAAAAAATACTGCCAGGAATGACCAGGCCAGCGGTTGCGTTTTGCGTTTGCAGTGATGGGCCGCAGAATAAAATCTCTTGAATAACATTATTGTAAAATCCCCCCCCCCCCCGCCCCAACCACACACACCTTACTGAATGTTTCAGACACAATAAAAAGTCCATCCCAATGCACAAATTGGTTCAGCAACTTTTAGTTCAGTCCCACTTAAAACAGTGATTGTGTAGTAAAACTGGTGAATTCCTCTCGTTAAAAAAATATGCTCCCAAGTAGCCCCCGAACAACAAGTATGCTGATTTTTAAAAAAAAACATTTCTAGAGATTTTACTTTGTCCCGTTAGTAATCATTATTCCGCGATATCATCCTTTACCTTTCGTATCCAACTTTCCTTTTACAAACTTGAATGGTTTGTAATCAGATGTACGTTATGTCGGCCATCTCCTGACTGCGCCCAGAGTGTACCGCTCTCCCAGTTACCTTTATAGATAAACCTAGCGGAGCACCAAAACATTTACATCAGTGGGTGATATCAAACTCAATTGTGGGTCTGTTCGTGGCTCCACTGACTGAAAGCAGTCTTGAAAGTCCTACGGCAAAATTTGCACATGAAGGGCCTTTCAAATGTGGCTGCCGCAAGAGGAGGGGCGTGCGAAAACAGTGTTTCAGAGGGCTGTGGGCTAGCAGTCCTGTCTGAGTGACTTGAGGATTGTTCGTGATCGGGACACTGCTCCTGAGGTGGGGCTGGAGGCGGGGGCGGAGGAGGTGGGGGAGGGAGTGGATGAGACGAAGGACTCCGGGAAGGTTTGGAGAATTCAAGGCGATTGGCAGACTGAGATATATGGGACTGGAAGTGGCTCCAGAGGCGGAAGTTTGTACGGAAAGCCTTGTGGCAGACGTGGCAGATGAATGGCTTGACAGCGCAGAGCAGTTCCTGGTGACGTTCCAGCTGTTTGTGTATTGTGAAGATCTTGCCACATTTTTCACATGGCCAAAGACCTCGCTCTCCTTTGCAGGCCAAGTCTTCCAGATCTCCACTACAACTGTTGGATTCGGGGGCCATGTCCTCCAGATGGGTGGGATTCGAGGAAACTGATTCAGATGGATTATCTTTAGTGTTTGTGCTTCTGCGACTGGAGACACTTAGATCCTCAGGAAAGCAAGACGAATCTTCGGAGTCAACATACATGGGTTCTGAAGAGTCACTGCACGCAGCATCTTCCTTTGAGGTACTTGGGCTGGCTACAGAATTCTCTTCCACTTCAGCTTGAAGAGTCTCCTCTTTGGGCAAGACGCCATTGACCCGCATGGCCTCCAAGATCGACTGTTCCACAGGAGCCATCGTATTTTCATTATGCACTTCAATCTGGTGACGCCATATACTGAAGGAGGTCTTAAAAGTGCGCTTGCATTCCGGACAGGTTAGCTTCTTGTATTCGCACTGATTTTCATGTTCCTGTTTTAGTTCTTTGGAACAAAACCTAAGGCTACAATAGGAACATACAGTAATGTTCCTACATATTCTCTCATGCTTTGTCTTCTCCACTACTGAAGACAACTTCAGGTTACAATGCTCACACTTATGATCTTTACCATCGCTCAGACTTTCATCAACACCTTGTTCTTTTGATTTGAAAATTTTGTTATAGAGCTTGCAGACAAAGGGTTTTTCACCTGGGTGGGTCTTCATGTGTTGTCTGTAACGTGAAAGGAAGCGGAACAGCTTTCCACACGTTGTACATATGTAGACGCCTTTGGTCGCGGATCTCAAATTCTTTTTGTATCCCTGTTCTGATCGCAGGACAGTGTAACTGTGAGAGACTTGCTTGCGCCGTAGCTTGTGAAAAAGGGCCTTCTTGATCTCCCTTTCACGTACCATATCACTCAGTTTCTTTTGAAACCTTTCTTCTGAAACAGGGTTGGAGCTCGTAGCCGCTGATGGATTTATAACTACACCATGTTGTGTCTGACAATGGGTCCAAACCTTAAAGTTGGTTAGGAATCGCTTATGGCAAATGTCACAGGCATACGGTTTATCCGGGTTATGGTACATGTCAACATGTCGTAAAAGGCCCGCTGTGGATCGGAATATCTTAAAGCAGGTCTTACATTTGAACTGCTTCCCCATTATTGCCGATTCACACTCGGAATATTCATCCTTGTTTTCGTCGGTCTTCAACACGTCCACATTATCACCTTCTGCACTCTCCTCAAACCTTTGCACCATACTCTGAGAACGCTGAATTCCCTGGAAAGTCTCAGACTTCTCGAAAGAAAACTTGGAATTTTCAGTCTGAAATGTCCTCTTCACCGGCAGCATTGACGTCCTTCTGTTCCTTTCCACATTTTTCACAGAGAACTCTTTACTTGTAGATGGAGATGTTTCTCCTACAGTAACCCTGATTATATCAGAGGCATCGGAAACGGGACTACAAGGTTCCGTTTTTATTTTAAGGGTAATTGGTAGTGAGGCAGACTCTGTGTCAGGTTGAGACACACTATGTTGCCTCGGTTGACAATGTTGGTTGACCTGCGGTTTATCCTTTACAAACCTCTGTTTCATTGAGTCTGCGTTCAAAGGCTTTTGGGATGAAGCATCATAAGCCAGCTCAGGTGGTTCACGCTTGCAGATGTGTGGTCCGTAGTTCATTTTTAGATCAAGAGAAGAAGAGTAGCTGGGAACTTGACTGTCCATGGACAATGACCTTCGAAGGAGACTTTTCACCAAAGGGCCACTGTTGACAACACCCTGGCTGTTAAGCTGAAACCTAGGTGATTGAATTGTGTGTCCCACTTTGGTGTAATATAGCAGATTACTTTCTTCCACTTTGCTGGCACTGACCACCTGCTCTGCTTTGTGCTGTGGGTATGGCAGTACTGTGGTTCCATGAAACGAAAATGCGCCTGAAAGCTGTGGCCTACCTCCAGGGTTTCCATTCACCAGCAGGTCAGTTAAACTTTGCCTAGTGTCAGAAACATTGCGTGCAAAGTCAGAGGTGCTATCCACACTCATTGAATTTCTCCTGTCCCACAAAAACCTCATTCTGCTGTTTCGGTCTTCCAAAGATCTGAAGTTATCATGACGTTTTGTGTCACCTAGAGGCCCATGCATGTGAGATTGTCCATTATCATCCATGGGGTGACTTTCATCCATATTTCTAGATGTTGCTGCAGGTACAACGCTAGAATTTGCCCGAAGAACATTCATCAAAGATGAAGACTTCAAATCATGTCCTCCATCTTCCTCTGCCAGTCCTTTTTTCTGGTTGGAATCCCCTCCTTTTCCTGTGGAATCAATATGGTTTTTATCAATGTCGTTGCGACTTTGGCACACAATGACACTCCGTGGCTGGCAGGCATTTCCATCTTCGAGAATCTTGCGAAGCTTTTTTGAGGGGTTTAAGGGACAGGGAATCTGAGGAGTCTGCGAGGGAATGTTGGTGAGAAATGAGATGCCAAGTTTACCGCCTAGATCGTGGACGGTGGCGAGACTTTTCTTCTCCACAAAGAGGGATGAAGAATAGATGTAATTCAGGATATTTTCAAAAGCAGTCGCTTCGCAGAGATCCAGCTGGAAGACCGATTGATTCTCGTTCTCCTTCTTAGTAAACAAAGTCTGGAAATAGTCACTACTGGCAGCCAGGACATTCTTATGGGCTCGGAATTTGTGGTCGCCCACAATCAGGACAACATCACACAGCTGGCCTTTTAAACGGTCCTCATTGAGCGCACTCAGGAGAGAGATGGCATGTGCTGGATTGATATAGTGAAGTAACGCTTCCATGGTGTGTTCCACCTGTAAGATAGCAACACAAAAATTAAGGGTCAAACTTGGGTGTGGGGGTGGGGAGAGGGGGCTGGTGCAACAAACATTATGAGACTGAAATACAAACAATGTCAACAATACATCAAGAAATTCGGTGGTTTAAAGGGGACAGGAAAAGTGGCAGAGCGGCAGGATTCCCGAATAGCGAATGCAAATCATTAACAGGGAATTCTACCAATAACCAGCAGTACACTAGGCTAACTAGTAGGAATCTCACCATCGACTCCCACTCTATACATTCTGTAATGGAGATCCTGTGGGTTGGTCGTGATGTAATAATAAATAATAATCCTTGTGTTTGGTATACCGCCTTTCACATCAAAGCACTTCACAGGATTTACAGTAACTGTATTTGTAGGCAAACACGGCAACACAACAATTGCCCACATGCAACTATGAAATTAAGAATTTTACACAAATGTATCTACTTTTTGATGACCAGGACCCTTGGAGACAGAAACTACCATCTAAGTTTTGAATAGTACCATGAGATCTTTTAACGTCCATCTCAACAGGCAGACAGGACCTCGGTTTTAACGCCTCGTCTGAAGGATGGCAACTCTGACAATGCAACACATCTCCAGCAATGCAATGAAGCATCAGCCTACTCTAGTTGAGTTTGAGTCCCAATATACGGGCTTGAACCACAAGCTTTGGACTGAGAGGCGAGAATGCTACCAACTGAGTCGGTTAACAGAAGGATTTCCTGTTAGCAAATTGATGTCGCTATTAAGGAATCCAGATACAAACTGCCTTCTTTTTACTCCAATGAGAACTTTACAGGCACAGTACAAATTGGCACACAATAATAATCCTTGCATTTGTGGAGTCCTGTAGCTCTGTGGTTAGAGCACTCGCCTTGCAAGCGAGACACCTGGGTTCAATTCCAGGCAGAGGGCGAAACCTTGGGCAAGTTTCCTTACTCCACACAGAGCCTAATAATAGTCCCTCCAAAACAAAAACAATAATAAATTGGTCATTTTCAATCCACGACTGTTCGTGGGGCACTGCTGTGCGCAATTGGCTCCCGCGTTTTGCCCACAAATATACGGTCAATTCACTTTACAGCATATTCCGTGAAGCGCTTTGAGACGTCTAGGAGACATGAAAAAGGCTATATCAAATGCAAGGATTATTTGATATAGCTTCTTATAAAAGTCGTTGAGACATCTTAAAACACTTCACAGAAATTGTAAAGTGGATGAAACGCAGCAGCTAATTGCACACAGCAATGTCCCACAAACAGTCGTGGATTAAGTGACCAAATTATTGTTATTTTTTGAAGGAATTATTACCCCGGAAAAGCAATCCAGCAATCGGCTAACAAGCAGGTTCCTACTTACTGCTAGGTAAACAGAGGTGTGTGGAGTAAGGAAACTTGCCCAATGCTTCACTCTGCCGGGAATCAAACCCAGGTCCTCTCGCTTGCGAGGCGAGTAAAGTATACTGTAAAGTGAACTGACTGTATTTTGTAGGCAAAACGTAGCAGCCAATTGTTCGCGGCGATGACCCACAGACAGTCGTGAATTGAGTAAGGGATTATTATTCCTGGAAAGCGATCTGCTAATCGAATAACAAACGGATTCCTACTTACTGCTCGGGAATCGAACCCGGGTTCTCTCGCTTGCGAGGCGATCATGCTGACCGCTGCCCTACGGGATTCTGATCGCTGTCTGATATCTCTGCTGGTAGATCCAATTGTATGGACATTTGATGAGGATACGATTGGACTGAAATGTGAAGGACCCCACCTGCTGATGTTAGGGTCTACACTCATGTATGAAAAGTGACGCGAGCAATGATAATGCTCATGATCCTCATACATGATGCTCTCTTGTGAACCTGCTTGGAATTTGTGCCTCAGTTGACAGGGAATCAGAGTGGGCTGTGATACCCCTCATCCCCACACCTGCTAACACTCATGATTTGGACTTGTGTATGAATCGCTACTTGAGCGAGACACCAAAAGGTAGTTAGTTGTTCATGGAATAATACTTGATACAATGGGCCAAATGGCTTTCTTCTGTACTGTAAATTTTCTTGGAGTCCTGTAGCTCAGTGGTTAGAGCACTCGCTTTGCAAGTGAGAGACCTGAGTTCAATTCCAGGCAGAGGGCGAAACCTTGGGCAAGTTTCCTTACTCCACACAGAGCCTAATAATAATCCCTCCAAAACCCAAAACAATAATAAATTGGTCATTTTCAATCTACGACTGTTTGTGGGACATTGCTGTGCGCAATTGGCTGCCGCGTTCGCCCACAAATATATAGTCAATTCACTTTACAGTGTGTTCTGTGAAGCGCTTTGGGACGTCCTCCCGACGTGAAAAGCGCTATATCAAATGCAAGGATTATTATTATTTATTATTAAAAAAAAGGATCGCCAGTAATAAAGGAGAGAAAATTAATAACAATAATCCTTGCATTTGATATAGCGCCTCATCACATCGTTGAGATGTCTCAAAGTGCTTCACAGAATATGTCGTAAAGTATATTTTGTGGGCGAAACTAGAGAATTGGATGGGGGTGGGGGGGAAATATCACTTCTGTAAATTGTCTTTTTTTTCACTCAACAGTTAAATATGCCAAAACAATTCACCAAAAACATAAAAGTGTTTACTTTGGAGGTTGACGGATGGAGGTTTTAACTTGAAAATTAACTTGGAAGAAACGCCTGACGAAATTTCAAAGTTACTTCTCTTTAAAGACTACAGCATTGGATTTTCTTGCAGAAGACGAATTTACTTCATTGATTAAGGACAATGGCAAACTTTCTCAGCAACTCAAATCCTGTGCCTAACAGGAAGGAAGCCAATGCGTGAGCAGAATCGTAACAATGTCAAACGATTTTAAATAACAGGCAGGGAGTGTTAGGGGGGGGGGAAGTAGTTTGCAAAAAAGGACATATAAGAAAACTCAGAGAAACTCAGCAGCAAGCAAGTTCATGTTGCAGAGCCAATGTGGACGTCAACCATAATTCCGACTTTCTCTTTCTCCTTCCCTTATTTCTCTTAAGAGTTTATTGAAGGCTAAAGGTCAGAAGTATAGTTTGTTGCATGTTACGCAAGACAGACAAAAAGTCTTTTGTCACATATAAATCAAGGCCATGGGTGCAGGGCTACGTAAAGTGCTTTTGAATGAACAAAAAACATTGGCAAGTAGAGTTCAGCTTCTTGCTGCTAACTTTTACAGCTCCAAACTAACATCCACTCCTGCCAAATTTATCATGGAATGCTAATGAAGGCCAAAGCTCTGCATTAGTTCATTCTCACATCATAAATTTCTGCCGATTTCTAAGCATCGGTTTGGTGCTAGAGGAAAAAAGTGAATAACTGATTATAATAATAATCCTTGCGTTTGATATAGCGCTTTTCACGTCGGGAGGACGTCCCAAAGTGCTTCACAGAACACACTGTAAAGTGAATTGACTGTATATTTGTGGGCGAACGCGGCGGCCAATTGCGCACAGCAATGTCCCACAAACAGTCGTAGATTGAAAATGACCAATTTATTATTGTTTTTGGTTTCGGAGGGATTATTATTAGGCTCTGTGTGGAGTAAGGAAACTTGTCCGAGGTTTCGCCCTCTGCCTGATTCTTGTAGGCAAACGCAGACTTCTGCATTGAATTAACATGATCACTACGGAACACATCACATGGCACACACGAGACATTTTTGATTGCTTAAGTAGTGACTTTCATTAGTTACAATTAATTTATTGTTTAGCTCCCCCGTTTCTTGAAATAGTACACTGCAATTTTCTTTTCTGTCATCATAACAAAACGTTTCTGCTCTTATGGTCTTCCCCACATCACACAATCACCCACTGAGTGGGAGAGCAGATAACCTGCTTAGTTTTCTGACTGGTCTGCTATGACTGGCTGCTTGTAAGTAAACCATTATAACAATGAGATTTTCCTCCAAGTATCGCACACTTCTCTCATGACATGGGTGAAAATCTTCATCGCGTGAAGATTTTCTGGAACCAACACATGCCTCAGCACCACAAGGCCTACATAGGCTTAACAACTTGAATTAGCTGAATCTGGTGAAAGGCATCAAAGTAGCGTAAGCTCTCTGGTGATAATTTACATAGCTCCTTGACAAAGAAGCAAATTATTATTATTATTATTAAATGGAGCTCTAAATGTCAACAGCTGAACGGGGAGAGGGGGATATCGCCGCTTATTTTTGCTAACAACAATATTCCTCAACTTAAAGCAATTAAATCAAACACCCTAAATCCTCTGAAAAAGACTGCCAAATTATGGAGACCGTCATGCTATGGACCAATGAACCTGGGTCACATAAATCAAGTATTTTTAGCTTTGCAAATATTGTAAAGAGTATACGTTTACGTAAGATATAGAGGAAAGAGTCTCAAGGGAATGTTTTTAACAGTTTTATAAGTTCGTCATTAACATACAGCAAAGATCAAGTAGTTTCCTGCTTTTCCCGAATCCCTCAGTGTGAATACTTAATTAATAATATACAAATAACTGTGGCTTCCCTATCCCTCCATGGCCTATTAGGTAAAAGCACCACTCAGTGTAGTAGTAAGCCAAACAAACCAACGGGCTGATAACCGATAAATAAAGTTCAGTACAGATAAATGGAAGGTACGACATGTAGAATACAAGAATTGTCCAATGGGATAGAACTTGTCAAGAGGGAAGCTGAAGGAGATCAAACTGTGTCAGTTGACACATCATTCATTATGTCAAAATAATGCAAGGCAGCAATAAACCAGGCAAACTGGACGCTGGGCCACATTGCTAAACCAGTTGAATTTAGATCTTTAGATATCGTGATCATGCAGTACAGTGCCGCTGGTCAGACTTTGAATGCTCCCTACAGTTCTGGTCACTGTAACCAAAGGGCCTTCTTCATCCCAATCAATCTTGTGAGGCCATAATCCTGGCCCTGGTTGTACGATTGGCTTCAATGCCAGGGGAGAGAAAATGAGCCAGGT